AAAATCATTAATTCTCCAATCATCAATTATTTCGCAATTTGAAAATCGATAATTCGTCGTCATCCGAAACGTCACGATTTATCGCGAATTTTAATCGTACGATGATTCTTTTATGGAACGACGGGGACCAGTGTCTCAAGGACCTCAAGGAAACCATGGAAATGTGCATAAATGTGTGGACAATTCTCTGAATCAATTCTCAATTCGCATTGAAGGTCGAGTGAATTCAATGCGAAAGAACCTTAACCCAAAATCCAGAAAATTTTTTTATGAATAAGAGAGCATTCCGAGCTTTGCTCACCTCCTGGAGACTAGCCCCTTAAAAAAAAATCTGTTAAAATCAGGAGAGACAGAGAATGCGGGGAAAATGGGGTGAATCAGAAGGTTCAATGGCAGAGGAGAAGAAAAAATCGATCGTACCAATCAATTCAAAATTTCGCTTTTCCAGAATTTTATTTTCTATCAAACGTCAACTTTTGTTTAAATTTTCTTTTTGATCTAAAATATATTAAAATTTGGGATCAATTTTGTGTTGCGGGAAACACTTGAATGGACATGAAAAAATAATAAAAAAAAGAGGAAAAATTATTGAAGGGCGCAAAAGATCGATATTGTTTAAAAGGAATTTACCAAGATTGTTAAAAAATAATAAAAAATACATAGCTTACTATTGCATATAGCTGTCACTCAATCTTCTAGAGAGGAATGGTAAGCTGTGTAATTTTTATTATTTTTTTGTATACCTGGTAGATCCCTTTTAAACAATATCGTTCTTTAGCACCCGTCAATAATTTTTCCTCTTTTTTTTCATTATTTTTTTATAACAATTCGAGTAAATTTTTTAGTATTTTCCCTTTGATGTGTTCCTCCCCTGTAAAATATATTTCGTAAATTATTTTTATTCCAGTCATTACTATTGTTGTTGTCAACGATATTGATGATTAATTATAAATTTTACGTATTATATATATTTTATATAATATGTAAAATTAATAAATATGTATATTTTATTTAATTTCACGATAAAGAATTCTAATATTCAAATATTTTTCCGTCATTTCTATTCCGTTCAGCCTCCAGGTGATTTGAAAATTATAGGTACGCACCTGCGATGACATTCATTATGTAAACGAATACATAGATAACATGTATTCACATAACGAAAATAAAAAGGCAGAAATAATCAGCGGAATCGACAAGTAATTTTTTTCGCACCTCATTTATGCGCGCTGTACGTAAATAATCCCAGGAGGAATGTTTTCATCAACACAGAAAATTACGAGAAAATTCCACCGTCCTAATGACTACCGAGTAATTAATCCTTTAAAATAATTAGAAACATCAGTAGATCGTTTCAGCGAATCCACAATTTTCCATCGCGGTTCGACGTAAGTGGGTAATTACTGGGCATTAATTACTCGGATTACCCTGAGTTTTTGGAGCTTCTGGGGCTCTCGAGTCTTGATGTTGAGTATTTACGTTACATAACTGGTGAATAAACGTTATCAGACTTTGTGTCGTTTGAAAATTTAACGCGCAACTCACGGCACATGCGGAAAGATATATTTTTATGAAACCGGCTTGTGTGCCTTGTACATGATTATTATGCTCCAATGATTGAAGATTCTATCGCGAATTTAATTGAGTGGATTCTGGATTTCATGCTAGTCCAGAACTGTTGGTTTTTCTTTGACAGGTTTCCGGTCTTGCGCATTCTGAGAAAATACACTTTTAAAAATGTTCATAAATTTACTACATTTATTATTTATTGTTTTTATTTATTACATTTATTATTTTTGTTGCAATTAGTTTTTAACATGATTTTGCGGGAATATTGGAGTGGAGAAGGTATTGCTGATAGCTTCTCATTATAGTTATAGTTTTATTATTGTTTAATGTAATTTTTATGAAAATTTATGAGCCATTGAATGATGAAACCAAAAAACGAGATATTTTATTGGCGAATTTGATCCACGGTTTCCCAGAAATTAATAAAAAAAAATTTCCCTCAATAAAATATGAAAATTCCGCAAGAAGCATTAGGATTTATGTTCATGAAGAATTTCGGTGGAATTTTCTACCATAAGTAAAATTACGATTCGTAAAATAACAGTGCTTTTGGATCAGAACCGTAGATTTTTCTCAAGGCCAGTTTTTAGCCGGTATCTCAGAATTTAAGAGAGATAGCGATATTTTTATCGATACCTTTTTCGTAGCTCTCACAATTTTCTGTAAAATCGGTATTCATGAAAATAGCGCTATGTTTGTTTCATTCCGAGATATTTTCGAAAATCGGACGCCGAAAAATGCATCTGCTGCATTACTTTGCAGTAAAGTTTCCGATGGAATTCAGGAGAATTCTATTACCATAATTCCGTAATTCCCTGATAATTATGAACTAACTGGTGATGAAATTCTGATGTTTTTTCAAATCTAGTGCGTAGAGACTAGTCTTCTGTTATCTCTTGATTGATCAGATCAAATGTCCCGCCGATCTCGATAAGATAATCCAATCCGTCAAATGCATCAAAAAATTTAGTCATTAATTATTCCACTTGATAATCGTCAACGTCGAATTCGAAAATCCTAAACAAATAATCGTCCAGATGAAAAATCTCCAATTAAATCGATTAAAACACAATAAACTCGTGTTGATATTTTATTTTAATTCTTTGAATAAAACAACGAATGATTTCTTCCAATTTTGAACGACGGAAAAAACCTGAAACCAATCGCGAATATTTTTATCAGATCCATACAAAATAGTGAGTATTTTATCGAAGAATATTAATCACTCCGTAATCTCAATTCAAATAAACCTGCTCCAATGATTAAACTCGACATGAACAATTTTACAAGAGTCTTTCAACTTTTTCCCCACCTTTTATTGAATCACAAGCTTTTCCGTGACCCACTTAAATTCTCGTTTTCTCACCACGAAAGGTCTCCGAAATAGGAATGAACGAGACGAGAATGAAAGTAGTTCAAGAAGAGAATAATTCGAGAAAGAAAATAATAAAAAAAAAATTTCAAAGACTTGCATTTTGTTTCTCGCATTGTCCAAAAGGGAGATCTACGTCATCCTCGGGTTTACGTTTCAACCGGTTTCTGAATGACTCCCGCCCCCATCTTTATTTTTTTCACGAGGAGATAGTCCGGATTCATTCCAAATCTTTGAGATTTAGCCACGATGTCCAAATGACGGGTTCCTTTCGTATTTTACGAGACTTATGATCCCTTACCCTTAGGATCATTCGATATATATCGATATCCGAGAATGTAGTTTATTTATTTATTTATTTATTTATTCATTTATTTCTATTTATTTAGTTATCCAAAATAAACTTCCTTTTTAAATTGTAAAATAACATATTTGCATTAACATTGCATAATAGCTAAAATAGAAAAAAACCCGAGATGCGGGGCAAAACTTTCAAGTGATATTTAAAAGAGGGAGGGGGAGGGGAAATTTCGCCCATTTTGTTTTGATTAATAGGAACCGAGATAATCGTCCCATTATGCCCCCGTCAATTATTTATTGACGCGACGTCGCGGGGTCGCGGGTTGAGTTCGTCTTATGGGTCTCACTTTTACGGTCATTCGAGATATTTCGAGATTCGAGAATTTTTAGATCGATCCCCCTTTTTATGAGAGGCGATTTCCTTGTTTATACGGAAGTCGTATTTCCTTTGATTTTAGGAATGGGGGGCATGGTTACAGGTGGTAACTGCGTGCAGTGGGGGTACCCTGGGAAGTAAAAATTTATGCTGACTGTATTATAGTCTGACCTCGCCTCAAGACCATAGCCATTCCTGTTGACATTGTTCCGAGAATTCTAATGATATTTTGGAGATGACTCATTGTCATTCTGATGATTTGCTGTGCCATCACTTGACGTGTCCTTAATTATGATTCTGTATCTCGGAAACCATCGGCTTCAGGGAGAAACAATAGAGGAATTTTTTGTAGCTCGTCAAATTTCAAACAAAAAAGGTCTTTTGACATTTAGGTGTAGAGTTGACGGTTTGGAAGATTAATTGATGTTAAACTGAAATGTAAAATTCGATTTCGGATTGAGATTCAGGAACTCTTTTTAATCCGTGATTCACCAGTTGGTGGACTAAAATAAAAATAAAAATAGAAATTACGTGTAATCTATTTTCATCCGGAGAAAAATTTCCGGCGAAAAGAAAATATTTCAAACATTTTACCATTTCAATATTCGCTCTTGAGGAGTGCCAGACAAATCAACTTGAAAACACTCGACAAAAAAATTGTCTGACTCACACGACCGATTCCACTGCCTCTGAAACTTCAATAACAGATGAGGACTTCTCAGATCTTTTCATTTACAAACAAAGGCCCCGAAAACAACCAATAATCTTGCTCGTAATCTCGTAATTATCAATTCCTTGATTATGATAAACTTCCCAGAATGAGAATGAGCCCCACGATCTTTTTTTCCTTGATCCACAACTAGGAAAAGACGAGACTTGAATATTTCCGCACAGATTATTTTATTTAATTAAAAAAAAAGTGCAATCACATTTTCTGAATTATCGAATTATTTTTCCGCATACTATTTTTTATAAAACGAAGAAGTTTGACTTGAATCCACTGCATTCACATTCATTTACGTCCCACATCCAATCTCACATGGAAAAAGATATACATGCGCCATATATGTCAATTATATGCACATATATTATCGGCTGAAAACGTCATGTGTGAGATACATGCTGAATATATCGTACAGCATTTTTTTCCTTTCAGAGAAACAAAGTTTCAATTCTCAGAGGATGAACGAAGAAAAAACTTTCAATTCCCCAAAAATATTTTGCAAAGGAATTTATTTATTTATCTCAAATGCTCAAATTTTTCAAAATCAGTATTTCAAGATTATTTTTATTTCCAGAATACCTTACTGAATTATTATATGAGAAGGTTAAAATCATAATAATAATGATTATTATTAAGACTATAATTTTATAAAAAAATTCAAAGAAGTATCCATTTGATATTACTAGAGGTTTCAGTTGAACTGAATAAACATTTACAAAAAATCAAGGAAATCTGTTTTTAATTTCGGAAATCGTCTCGTACTTTTTCATGGTTTTTGTAAATTTCTGGGAAGTCCTAGATCAGATTAACGTGAAAAATAAACTGTTTTAACCCAGCGATTAAAACTTCGTGAGACATTGAATAACAATAAAACGGTGTATATATTTTTTCACGTCACGTTATATTTTTTCACGTCAATTTTATCAGCGGTTTCTCCAAAAAACTTGAAAGATGCGAAGATATCGGTAATAACTCCTGAGAGAGACATAATCCTTACACTGAAAAAAAGACAATTCTCCCAAATAAATATTCTAGTAATGAGTAAATTATTTTTCTCAGTGCAACAACAATTGCATAATTTTGGTGTACAAGATATCCCCAGGGATTCCCACGAAAATATAATAATACCTGTGGATTTCGGTGTTTCCCCACCCAAAATGGTTGCTGAAAACCCATCAGAGCGTAAAGGTACACACCCACGTGAGTAAATCTTAACACGTCGTTCCGTCATCGTCCCACGCAGCATTTCCACCCATGAAAGATGCATTTCAAACATTTGTTTAAACTGAGGGGCAGGTTCGTGGATTCGTGCAGCATGCAGTGTTGAAATACCCATGCAGAGTCCAGCTCGAGTGCTGCAAAAAAAAAATACAATAATAAAAATAATAAAATAACAAGTAGTTATGGTAGGGATGGAGTAATCCAAAAGGTAGTGGGAGAGATGGAATTGACTTCAGCACTCACTGCCTTTAGTACTCCCAGACTAACCGACAACTGTGCCACTACGAATCGCGATACCACACCGTCAACATCGAGATAAATAACTTAATAGTGTCCAAGGGAGAGCATTCCTGATAAATCAATCGAATAATTTTTTACTATTGTATTTAATTAAAAATCTACCAGGATATCTTTAGGAAACAAAATCAGTGAAATTAGGTAATTAGTGACAAGTGAGAATAAACGGATGATTAAATCCTGGAGACAGTGATGGGTATAAAAAAGGGTGGGAAAAAAGGGGAAATGATAACGGGAGATGAGGTGATGACCTCGACGGAGGTCTCGGGTACGAGTGAGACATCCTCGAGAATAGTCTCTGAAGCGAGCACAAGTGCTGAGACTGAGATTCGCAGTAGTACAACAGAAATGAGTTCTGGATCGCGTGAGGTAGTAATGGATTCAAAGGGGAATGTCATTCGTGTGATAGAGACCCCGGGGTCGACAATCAGACAGGGAAGATCGAGGGTGAAGGATTCAGAGGATTTCATTAGAGGTGAGCAGAGACTAATCGAAAAGACCAGACCAGATGTAATATGTAGAGATGATGGTGACGTAATGCGGGATGTGGGCACATTCGTGACATCATCGTCGATGATGACCTCTTCGTCCTTCATGGAGGAGTCATCGAGTACTACGATGGGTGATAATCCACCGGAAGTTCATACGAAATCCACGGAGTCGAGTAAAACCGCGAGGACATTATCCGAGGGGGTCAGTAAAAATGGACAGATGTGGGTAGACACTCTGAGGATTGATGAGTCCGAGGAGTCTCTGAATGTCGATGGGAATGTGATGTCGACCCGGGGGAAAAATGTCCAGAGTGAGAGGAGTGAGCCCTCAGGAAAACCTCACGTGACGTTCACTAAAGGTTTACCTTCGACTGAATTGAAATCGTGTAAATCAAGGGAGATGTCGAAACGAACGAATGAACCCTCGAGGATTCAGGGATCAGGGAGGACTGATGTTGAGATAAGGGATGTAACTGAGGAGCGGAATATCGTGGAGTCATCGTCCTCGTATACTGTTGAGTACAAGGATTCCTCGGAGGGTAAACGAATCGAGAGAGGATCGACGGTGTCGTCGACGATTCAGGAGGAGCCGTCGTCACCACGGGGAACGTCAACACCCCTTCGAGGAACACCTGAGAAGCGGCACTTCAAGCCGGGTGAGTCATCCTGGGACGGGAGCTTCACCCTGGAGAAGTCCCCGGCTCCTCAGACCTTTGACAAGAGACACCGGAGAACAAACGTGGAGATTCATGACGTCACTGATGACTACACCGTCAACGAGGCTGATGTCTCGACGACTTCGTATGTGGTCGAGACGTCAGCGAGTGAGAGCAGCTTCTCGGACGTAAGGGACAGCTCAACGGTTCGGCGGGAAGTCAGGAGTCATGAGTCTGAGAGCGCCAACCAGGAGTCGCAGAGAATTATAACGTCGAGTCCGATTCCTGGGGGGCGACGCCCAGGACCTGGGGAAATCAACGAGTCGATTATTGTTGAGCAGTCTCGAGTCCACGAGAGCTATTCCGACTCCTCGAATATTGACCTATCGACGACAGCTGTTGAAACAGTGATTGTTGTTGATGGAAAGCCTGTAAACAGATCTGTGGATTATAATGTTCAATCAGGATCGACTGATGCTGTGATAAAGGATTCGGGAGAACGAGGAAGGCCCTGCAAGCCCGGGTCCTCGACCTGGGACGGATCCTTCGTTTATGAAAAAATACCTGAAGCCCCTGGAAGGGAGTCTCTTACGAGAGACACTGGCAGACATGTGACATCAACTATTGAGAGATCAACCGATAAAGTTGATGTCTCCAGTACGGAGTTCATCAGTGTGGAGTCAACGTCTGACGAGAAGGTATTCGACTCCTCTCACTTCTCTACTACAGTTTTGCATGACGTGAGAGACAGCAGACGTCCGCAGAGTCCAGAAAAAATAACGGGGAGACCTTCGAGTCCTGATAAGAGGTCACCGAGTCCTGGGGACAGAACCTGTCGCCCTACGAAGCCGGGATCTTCAACCTGGGACGGTTCATTCACTTATGAGAAGTCTCAACAGCCGAAAAGGCCTGCGGACAGTCTCAAGGACGTTCATCAACATCCGAAGGACGTCTCCAAACGTCCGGTGACAATGACTGATCGAAGAACAGAAACAACTGACGTTTCAACTACTAAATTCATTAATGTGGAGTCAACATCGATGATTGACTCGAAGACACTCGGATCTTCAGAAGTTTCAACAACAGTTTTGCATGATGTGAGAAACAGCAGACGTCCTCAGAGTCCTGAGAAAATAACGGGACCGTCGAGTCCTGATAAGAGGTCTCCGAGTCCTGGGGAGAGAACCTGTCGTCCTACGAAACCTGGGTCTTCGACCTGGGACGGCTCCTTCACTTATGAGAAACCTCAACAGCCGAAGAGACCTGTGGACAGTCTCAAGGACGTTCATCAACATCCTGACGATGTCCCCACACGTCCCGTATCAACCGAAAGGACTGATTACTCAACTACAATATCAAAATCGATGAACGTGGAATCAACGTCGGTTGACGATTCTCAGAGGTACTCCAGTACATTGGTGCACGATGTGAGAGACTCGAGCAGACCCCAGAGCTCTGAGAAGACACCTGGAGGACCTTCCAGCCCGACTGACAAGTCAATTCGCCCTTCGAAGCCCGGATCTTCAACCTGGGATGGGTCATTTACTTACGAGAGGCCTCAGCAGTCGAAAAAACCTGTGGACAGTCTCAAGGACGTTCTTCAACATCCTAAGGATATCTCTCAACATCCAGATCAATGCCCTGTTCCAACTGCTGATCGAAGAACAGACAAAATTGATGTTTCGACAACTAAATTCATCAACGTAGAATCAACTTCAACGGTTGATTCAAAAACATTCGATTCGGAAAATGTTTTAACTACAGTTTTGCACGATGTGAAAGACAACAGACGTCCTCACAGCCCTGAGAAAACAACTAGGAGACCGTCGAGTCCTGATAAAAGGTCCCCAAGTCCTGGAGACAGATCTTCTCGTCCAACGAAGCCGGGGTCTTCAACCTGGGACGGTTCATTCACTTATGAGAAGCCTCAGCAGCCAAAAAAGCCTGTGGACAGTGTCAAGGACGTTCTTCAACATCCTAAGGATGTCTCTAAACGTCCAGATCAACGTTCTGTTCCAATTACTGATCGAAGGACTGATAAAATTGATGTTTCAACTACTAAGTTTATCAATGTAGAATCAACTTCAACGGTTGATTCAAAAACATTCGATTCATCAAATGTTTCAACTACAGTTTTGCACGATGTGAGAGACATCAGACGTCCTCACAGCCCTGAGAAAATAACTGGGGGTCCTTCGAGTCCTGATAAGAGGTCTCCGAGTCCTGGTGACAGAGCCTCTCGCCCTACAAAGCCCGGATCTTCAACCTGGGACGGTTCATTTACTTATGAAAAGCCGAAGAAACCTGTGGATAGTCTCAAGGACGTTCTTCAACATCCTAAAGATATCTCTAAACGTCCAGACCAACGTCCTGTTCCAATTACTGATCGAAGAACAGACAAAACTGATGTTTCAACTACCAAATTCATCAACGTTGAATCAACTTCAACGGTTGATTCAAAAACATTCGCTTCATCAAATGTTTCAACTACAGTTTTGCACGATCTGAGAGATACCAGACGTCCTCACAGCCCTGAGAAAATAACTGGGGGTCCTTCGAGTCCTGATAAGAGGTCTCCGAGTCCTGATAAGAGGTCTCCGAGTCCTGAAGACAGAGCCTCTCGCCCTACAAAGCCCGGATCTTCAACCTGGGACGGTTCATTTACTTATGAAAAACCGAAGAAACCTATGGATAGTCTCAAGGACGTTCTTCAACATCCTAAAGATATCTCTAAACGTCCAGATCAACGTCCTGTTCCAATTACTGATCGAAGAACAGACAAAACTGATGTTTCAACTACCAAATTCATCAACGTTGAATCAACTTCAACGATTGATTCAAAGACATTCGATTCATCAAATGTTTCAACCACAGTTTTGCATGACGTAAGAGACACCAGACGTCCTCACAGTCCTGAAAAAATAACTGGGGGTCCTTCGAGTCCTGATAAGAGGTCCCCAAGTCCTGGAGACAGATCTTCTCGTCCAACAAAGCCTGGATCTTCAACCTGGGACGGTTCATTTACTTATGAAAAACCTAAAGAGTCCAAATCACCTAGAGAAGCCCCAAAGCCTGACGATCGTCCAGTATCCATAAAAGACCTGAAGACGAGGCAGCCTGATGTCGCCACAACGACCTCTAAATTCATCAACATCGAGGCGACTTCAACAATCGACTCCAGAACAATCGATTCATCAGTTGTTTCTGTTCCTCCCGAGAAAAAACCTGCGGGAAAAACTCCTCAGGGGCCGAGGGTCAAGCCTCAGAGCCCGGAAAAGCGAACTGTCAGGCCGATGAGTCCTGAAAAAAGTCCTCCGAATTCAACCGATCGCTCCATACGCCCCACAAAACCTGGCTCATCAACCTGGGACGGTTCATTCACTTATGAGAAACCTAAAGAGCCTAGGAAACCCGCTGGCAAAACTAAACCTGCAGAGAAAAAACCATCGGACAGAGATAAGCCCAGGAAACCCGATAGGGAGCAACAACCGGTACCTTCTGACTCCACAGTCAGGAGTTTTGTTTCTAAAAATGATGTCGACACGACATTTGTTACTGAAGTTGTTCAGCAGTCGTACGTCATTGAGAAATCATCCAGTAAAACTGATGTCATCAACGAGAATTACATCAAGGATGTGGTGAGTGGAGAATTTACTGAAAATTAATAAAAATTTTCGTGTCAGTATGAACAAAATTGGCGAATTATTCAATAATAATTCCAGTGCTATATTGCTTGATGATTTTTTTTAATTATCGAATTCATTGCCAAAGAAGGGAAATCAAAGTATGAGCGGTGAAAAATTTGAAAATCGAAAAGCGCTTTCACTCGGTTTCTTTCAAGGACTCGGATAAACTCCGCGTGAACTTAAAAATAAATCTGATGTCATGGACTTCATCACAACTAGGTGAATAAGTGAGGAAAGAAGATAAAAGAATTTACAATTAGACTTCCGCAGACATCACGTAATTCATTCGACCCAGTGAATATTTTTCTAATTACCGATCTATCCCGAAAACTATCGACTTGAGGTGAAAACGCGAAATGACTTTTTTGTAGTTAATTAAAATTCTAACAAAAAAGGTCTTTTAATATTTTCTTCTAAAATCATTATTTTTCCATGTATTGACATTCAACAAAAGAGTAAAAAAAAAGGATTTTTCTCATTCAACTAAAATTCAAGCGGTAATTTAAATTTTTGTTAAATAATGACTCAACGAAAATTTATGAAGGTGTAGAATAAATTTCTGCGGGAAGATCTTTGTGATGCTGAAAAATGAAAAAACTACTCGTGATTAGAATAAATTTATCAATATTCTGAACAACAACATTGTAAATTAAAAAAAAGCCTAGTATTCAGAAAATTGTAGGTTTAATTCTCTGTTGAATCAAATATTTCATCAGGCACCGATAAGCGGGAGGTTGATAATAGAACAACCGGCTGTATCAACCTGGTTTTTCCTATGGTTTCCCATGCAATTCCTTTGCTCTATAGAAGAGTGAATCAGGTACAGTGATCCATAGTCTCATGCATAGGGTAGGATAGGGCCATTTAGCGAAAAATGGAGGCAAAAGGGCCGGAATATAAAAAAAAAGACACGATGGGGAAGTTGAATGGCCTAGAACGCACCTTCTTGTCTTGAATTCATGGCATCCTCAACTCTCTCAAGACACGCCATATGACAAATACAAATAAGACAGCGTTTGTGCCCTAGTAATGCTTGGCAGCATGGAATATTGAACGTGTGTTGGTTTGTTTTGCATGAACTAACGCAGTGTCAATATAACTGTCTCTTAGTTGCTCACCCAGCGATATCATCGCGTGCTCAGACTTCATTCAATTTCCGACAAATTGATTTCACCGATTGTTATGAAGACGATTTTCCATGAGAAACCTTGGAGCAATTCATATCATTGCGTCACCTATTTTTGTACTACGACCACATATCCTGTTTTATTTTCAATCTCGTTTTATTGGAGGCAATTGTTCAGACACCATTATGTAATTGAAATTCATTTCAATATTCGTCAATTATTACTTTCAATGCTCTAATGGCTTTTTTTTTAACAGTAGGACAAAAATCATTTCTCAGAGGAGTCTCGGAGTAATATCTATGGATCTATGGGAGATAGAGGATATTTAGTAATGACATTTTTTGTAGAACTTAATTTTCCTTACAAAAAATATTATAATCAAAATTTTCCTATCTTCTGTAGATTCTGAGATATTCATCAAAAACTGGTCAATAGTCAATAGCAACGACTTCCATTTATTTTCCCCTTTTTTATTAATTAAAATCAATAAAAATGGATGGATAAAATTCTGTAGAAAAATAAAAATCAGTGGAATAAATAAAAATAATGGAAATCTCGTAAAATTATCAGAAACTGCTGGCTAGGCATATTGTTGGTATCTCTGAAAAATCCTTGAAACGATCGTTTAAAAATTGTCGACGAAACCATAAAATCCGCTCATCATATTTCCACTGATCTATTACAAGCAGGTATTACATTTTCACACTAGACTGCGCAAAAACCCAATGATCGAAGAAAATACAGTAGCTGTGAATTAAGCGATGTGGTTTCATTGATGCATCATGTTCAACGAGATATCGATTCAATGATAACCGACAATTGAGCTCGTGGTCAAACACGTGTTCTCCATTCGTACGGGAGTCATTTTAAAAATCCACCCACATACCCACAGAGTTTATTAACACATTACGTCAATTTTCATCCGAGGCCAGATCCGGATCTTCACCCGGTCTTTGTTTAGCAACTCATAATTAAGTGCATCGAACCTGGGGATATAATTAGAGCAATTTTAAACGGTCGTTGGCTCTAATTGCCGGTAGTTGAAGGTGTCATGACGATAAATCAATTCACGTCACGTTTTGACAATTCTTTCTACACCAGAATTTATCATTTTTCATCTACGCTGTCAGCAATTTATTTTTTTATGAAATTAAAATTTAAGTTGATATAATAAAAAAAATAACAAAAATGGAGTGTTAATTGCTTGAAAATTGTTTATTTCTGATGAATAGTTGTTTCGGGAAAGAAGCTAAAACTGATTTTTAGGAAAAATTCTTGTTTTTTCATTTTTCTGGTGAAAAATATTGCGTTTTTGCGATTTATTGTTATTTAATTAATGAGATAAAAGATAAATATAGAATAGATTTTCTAAACTTTTAAGAAGAATTACGAAACTGTAGAAAAAATGCATGACTTTTTTTTGAGCCATTAAAAAATAACAAAATATATTTTTATATATAAAATATACAAAAATATATATATTCCTATTTTTATATATTTTTCAATGGCGGCCCTTTTCTAGACATTTACCAAAACATTAGGTTTTTGCATTTTGTTATTTTTTAATGTCTCACAAAAAAGTCATGCATTTTTTCTACAGTTTCGTAATTCTTTTTTCATTTTTATATATTTTTTCAATATATTATTATATATTTTTATATATAAAATATAAAATTTAAAATTTATTTATAGAATATATAAAAATATATAATAATATATTGAAAAAATATATAAAAATGAAAAACTTTGAATTTTTTTTTCAGAGAGATGTCATCGAGACGTCAACGAAAGACGTTACCAATAAGGAACAGGTGACTAGTATGGTATCGCAAAATGTTATCGACAACACTCACTTCGAGCAAATCGATGATTCTCCCAAGAAAGTCACACCCGATCGACCCGGTTACCCCCGGGGCATTCCGGGTCTCCGTGAAGAGGACAAACCGAAATCATTGCCTGCAGCAGGAAAACCCAGTCGTTCTCGTCAGCCCGAAGAGACACGAAGGTAAATCAATTAGAGAAAATTGCTATAGATTTTTGCGGCCTAAACACTGCAATCATTGAAATTGCTTTGTAATATTTATGGTATGTCGGCCCATCATGACGCAAAAAGGTGCGAAAATGGAATTTTCTAATCAATCTCTCATCTCAATATATCTGTGAAATTAAATCGTTTTAATCTCATATTTAGGTATTATTGTTCCTTAGTCGTCGATTAAAATATGGATTAAATATATATTAATTAAAATGCAATCTATATATTCATTTTTTTTAATTTTCAATCCTTTGAAAATCCATTTTTTACGATAACTAAACGAAAAAATGGAGATATAAGAAAGATTGGCTAAAATTCGTTTTCTGTGGAGATTTCAAATTTATTAATTGTGATTAGAGATTGAAATGATCATTTGGATTCTAGACTGTTGAAATCAGGAGATCATTACCAAAACTATATTTTCATATAATTTTTCAGATGCTTTTTTGCTGATTCTCGACTTTCCATTTATTTTTTAAAAGTCAGATTCCTGATTTTCCACTTGATTCTGATTTTCTCTACCTCTTGTGTTCCCAATTCCTTCAATCACGTGCGCCGAAATATTTTCATAATAAGATTATATCAAAATTCTCAGATGATCGCCAACAGATAATCTCAAATTAATGAATTATCGAATCAATACTGTCTGTAATGAGTGAGTAATTGTTTATTAAAATGGTTCATTAAAATTCAATTGGGTCTAGGTCTCCAGACGGCAGACCAAAATCACCAGAGAAACCGGGGGATCACGTGACACCTGGAAAATCAAAAAAACCTGAGGAGAGGGCCAAGTCCCCAGGTAAGCCCCGACCAGCAGCCGGCAAGCCAAGTAGAAGTCCTGACAAGGACAAGGCACCTGAGAAAAAGCCTAAACCACGGGATCAGTCACCTGATTCACTCGATGGTGACACGAAGCCGCAGAAATCATCACCAGTTGATGTTCTCAAGGAAATTCCACTAAAGGAACAGTGCATCTGTGAACTTTGCACTTGTGGGTGAGTCCATCCATCGATTGGAATTTTTATCATTAAAAAACCATAAAAAATAATCATATTGGGAAAAATCAGATGACTGGAACGAAATGCTAGAGGAAAAATCGTTCTATCTCTGAATTTATGACTGAATCAATGATTAATAAATGTAGATTGGGTACTATTGATGGGATCAAGGCTCACATCGATCTCCTCTCGTGCTTTTTTTTTATTTTTCATCTCAAACATTTACATTACGTGTTGCAAATGGCCTCGATAAGTCCCGGCAGATCAAAGGCACCACCTCTCTGGTGCACGTTTAAATGACGCATATGGGACACGAGACAGTACCTTTTAAGGTGTCACGATTCCTTATTCGATTCACTGTTTTTTTTTTACTACCTACACGTTGATTACAATCATGTAATCCATCAATGAGACTGGATCATGTCACTTTCAATGAACAATTTCACTTTTCTCTCGTTATGGATTATCTGCTCCTTTTTTAGATTTACCGATAAATATACGTTTTTTGCATTTTATCGGTATTTTATCATTCGGAAAATAATTAATTGTTACAATAATTTTTCTGCGTTTTCTATAAAAATTCATCGATTTTTTAAAAATTTGGAAAAACACAGGAAAATTATTGGACGATCGTTTTTGGGTCATTAAATAATGACAAAAGGCGAAAATGGTTTTTTTTTGTGTCAATCCAATCAACAAAAAAAAAAAACCAAATCCCCAAAAATTAAAAAAAAATTCCGGGAATGCAGAAAAAAAATTTAAAATTTAAAAATTTAAAAAAGTTTGCAGAAATTTAACAAAAAATTCCGGGAATGCAGAATGTATTTCAGATATTTTTGGGTAATAAATTTAGTGAGATTTGATTAAACGAAATCAGCCTAGTGACTTGACGAAAATAGAAATAGAAGGCTCTAGAAGGAAAAAATATTTACGCAAATGTTTTAACGAATTCTGTGTGTGGAATACCAATAAAGTGTATTTACAGAAACGAGGAATTGGTGCCTTCGGCGGATTTGGGTCTGCCGGTTTCTGAATTTTCCCCTTTTCAATTCATTTTGCAAATTTAATTTTCTAAAAGAGCACGTGTACCTAATTTTTGAAAAGCAAAATGAGAAATTGACCGTCGAACTGAATCAAAGTTTTTAGCAGAAATAATTTTTTTTCTTTATGACTTGAGTTGACATCCTTGCGACATGAATAATTTCGTTTTTAACACTCACCTGTGATATTCGTCAACCTCTTACACAGTCATTGCAAGTATTTAGAGTTGATTATGCAATATGATGTTTCTTCTGGTGACGCAGAGTGCGTAGGTACCAGGAAACCTCCTACATCATATCTGTCCGCAGCATATCTTCAACAATAAAGTGGAATAATAATTTATGAATGTAAGAATTTCACAGAAAACCTTCAAAATTGATTGTAAATTCCTATTCGATCTTTCAGAACTCTTAACTAATTTTTATAATCATAATTTGTAATTAATGAATGACAAATGTTACTCATTGTTGAGTAAATTGGACGGAATATTTAAAAAACTCGAAGGACCTGCCAATAAAAATAATGACAATTTTTCAGACGTCACAGATGTCCTCACAATGCTCCAGAGGATCACCTGGACATCTCCCACGAGCCGATTTACGGTGTCACGTCGTATCGTCAAGAGTATGACGAGAAACATGTGGATCGTCAGGTGAAATTCCACCACGAGGATCACCTTCAGATTGAGGGTGATTTCACTGGAGAAAGAAGAACCGATTATGTAGCGACTCGAGGGGAACGAGCACCTGTGAGAAAGCCTCAGGATAATTTGAGGCCGGAAGGCGATTTCGATAGTAAGTTGTGTTTTCTTCCAAAGGGACCTCAGGAGCAGTGATAGACAAATTTTATTTTTTAAGTCCTAAGTCCTGAAGGAATTTACAGACTAAATTTTTCAAGGAAAAAGGCTGAAAAATGGAGAATTTCATTATCTCTTGATTTGATTGTTATACGTCCCGATGAAGATGAAAAAATTATTGAAGAAATTTGTTTATCTTTTTTGGATAATCCTGAGACTAAGATTTCCGATTTATTTCCGATTTATTTCCAAAAAAGTAAAAAGTTAACGAGGAATTAATATTTTTCTTGGCCCTTCAAATCCAAATAAACTCAGGACCGCACATCACTGCTGATAAGAGTTATCATTTTATTAATTATGGATTTTCCTGCGATCCTCAGGTGTGACAACAACGGAGCTTGTCTTCACCGGGAAACCTGGTGATCGTCCAAGCCCAGTACGTCGCAACACCTACACCAAACTCGAGGGCGATTTTACTGATGAGACAACGACGCACACTGAGTTTATAGATCATCGGACTGTGGAGCGGGCAGAAATCATCCGGCGAGTGGACAATCTCACTGTGGGAGAGGGTGAATTCACGGTAATTATAATGAATTTGGAATAAAGTCAAAGCACGAGGACGTAATCTAGGATTTGGGAGAAGAACGTGACCTTTTGCAAAATCGAATTTTTCATTCAATGACTGCCTAAGCTCCTGATTGTCGATCCCTGATTGTTAAGAGTTAATCAAATAAATATTGGACTTTTTCCAATTTTTGCACTTTAAAAGAATGAGATTACGATATTACAAGGAATAAGCTAGGATTGTGATTGCAGGGAACTTCTCACACGAAAGAGGATTTCCACACTTTTGACGTCGTAGAACTAGATCGTCCGATCCAACGTCGTCCATCAGTGGACAAAACCGATCGATTCTGGAGTCAGACAGATGTTGTAAATACCACGACAAATCACGAGGAGTACAAGACCTTCGATGAGACAGATTACAGGACAACTGTGATTCTGAGGAGAGAGGATAATCTGCGACCTGAGGGACCGTTTGAGGGTCGTCCTAAGGATGATTATACGCCTGGAAGAGTTGATCGTCCAGAGCCGATTCGTCCGATCGACAATTTGAGACCTGAAGGGCCGTTCGAGGGACGTCCTAAGGATGATTACACGCCTGGAAGAGTTGATCGTCCAGAGCCGATTCGTCCGATCGACAATTTGAGACCTGAAGGGCCGTTCGAGGGACGTCCTAAGGATGATTTCACGCCTAAACGGGGGGAGAGACCGGAGGTGAAACGCCCTGAAGACAATTTGAAGCCCGAGGGAGATTTCACTGAGAGGGAACGGAAGCCTTTTAAACCGGCTGAGAAGAGAACACCGATTAAACATCCAGATAATCTTAAGCCTGAAGGGGATTTCGAGAGGCCTGAGCATGAGAAATTCCGACCTGCTGAGAGACCAGTTGTCAAAAAGCCTCAAGATAATTTGAAGCCTGAAGGAGATTTTGATAGGCCTGTCAAAACCCCAGTGAAACCTGCTGAAAAACGAACACCTATTAAGCATCCTGATAATCTCAAACCTGAAGGAGAATTTGAAAGACCAGAGGAAATACCTTATGGCCCTGGAGAGAGAGCTCCAATCGTTCGCCATCCGGATAATCTGTTCCCAGAGGGAGATTTTCCAGACAAGGAGCAGAAACCCTTTAAACCCGCTGAAAGAAGATCTCCAATTAAACATCCAGATAATCTCAAACCTGAGGGTGATTTTGAGAGGCCTGAGCACGAGAAGTTCCGCCCAGCTGAGAGGCCAGTGGTCAAAAAGCCTCACGATAATTTGAAGCCTGAAGGAGATTTTGATAGGCCTGTCAAAACCCCAGTAAAACCTGCTGAGAAGCGAACACCTATTAAGCATCCTGATAATCTCAAACCTGAAGGGGACTTTGAGCGACCAGAGGAAATTCCTTACGGTCCTGGGGAGCGAGCTCCCATCGTTCGTCATCCGGACAATCTATTCCCAGAGGGAGATTTTCCAGACAGAGAGCAGAAACCCTTCAAACCAGCTGAAAGGAGATCTCCGATTAAACACCCTGATAATCTCAAACCTGAGGGCGATTTTGAGAGACCTGAATATGACAAATATCGCCCTGCCGACCGTCCAATTCCGAAAAAGCCCCAGGACAATCTGGCACCAGAAGGTGACATCGAAATCTGGCGCTCTCGTGATGATTTTGTTGATTATAAAATTCGGGAACGAGTGGAAGTCACCAAGTTCCTGGATAATCTCAGGATTGAGGGAGAATTCACTGACACAAGAACGAGAGATGACTTTAAGGTTGTCAGAGGTGAACGAGTTGATATCGTTCGGCATCCTGATAATCTGAAGCCCGAAGGACCTTTCGAGGGTCGTCCTAAAGACGATTATACACCGAAGAGGGTTGAAAGACCTGAAATAAAAAAACCAGAGGATAATCTGAAGCCTGAGGGTGAGTTTGAGCGGCCGGAGAAGAAACCAATGGGCCCATCGGAGCGTCGATCCCCGATAAAACATGCAGACAATCTGAAACCAGAGGGAGACTTTGTGAAACGACCCAAGGAGGAGGCTCCGAAGAGGGGAGATCGAGCTGATATCAAAAAGCCGCAAGATAATCTAAAACCTGAAGGAAATTTTGAGCGACCTGTGCAGACACCTGTCAAACCTGCTGAAAAGAGGACTCCGATTAAACATCCAGATAATCTTAAGCCTGAAGGAGATTTTGAGAGGCCTGAGCACGAGAAGTTCCGCCCAGCTGAGAGGCCAGTCGTCAAAAAGCCTCAAGATAATTTGAAGCCTGAAGGAGATTTTGATAGGCCTGTTAAAACCCCAGTGAAGCCTGCAGAGAGGCGAACACCTATTAAACATCCGGATAATCTCAAACCTGAAGGAGACTTTGAGAGACCAGAGGAAATACCTTATGGCCCTGGAGAGAGAGCTCCAATCGTTCGCCATCCAGATAATCTATTCCCTGAGGGAGATTTTCCAGATAAAGAGCAGAAACCCTTCAAACCCGCTGAGAGGAGATCTCCAATTAAACATCCAGATAATCTCAAATCTGAGGGCGATTTTGAGAGGCCTGAACATGAGAAGTTCCGTCCCGCTGAGAGACCAGTGGTCAAAAAGCCTCAAGACAATCTGAAGCCCGAAGGAGATTTCGATAGACCTGTTAAAACCCCAGTCAAGCCTGCAGAGAGGCGAACACCTATTAAACATCCTGATAATCTCAAACCTGAAGGGAATTTCGAGCGACCTGAGGAAACTCCTTATGGCCCTGGGGATAGAGCTCCAATCGTTCGTCATCCAGATAATCTATTCCCTGAGGGAGATTTCCCCGATAGAGAGCAGAAACCATTCAAACCAGCAGAAAGAAGATCTCCGATTAAACATCCTGATAATCTTAAATCTGAGGGTGATTTTGAGAGGCCTGAACACGAGAAGTTCCGTCCCGCTGAGAGACCAGTGGTCAAAAAACCTCAAGATAATTTGAAACCCGAAGGAGATTTCGATAGGCCTGTTAAAACCCCAGTGAAGCCTGCTGAAAAACGAACACCTATTAAGCATCCTGATAATCTCAAACCTGAAGGGGACTTCGAACGACCAGAAGAAATACCTTATGGTCCTGGAGAGAGAGCTCCAATCGTTCGTCATCCAGATAATCTATTCCCAGAGGGAGATTTCCCAGATAGAGAGCAGAAACCCTTCCAACCCGCTGAGAGGAGATCTCCGATTAAACATCCTGATAATCTCAAATCTGAAGGCGATTTTGAGAGGCCTGAGCACGAGGGCTATCGTCCTGCTGAGAGACCCATCCAGAAGAAACCTAAGGACAACCTCAAACCCGAAGGAGACTTTGAGAGACCTGAGAGGAAGCCTGTTGGTCCTGGAGAGCGTCGATCTCCCATTAAACATGCAGATAATCTCAAACCTGAAGGAGATTTTGAGCGTCCTGAGCACGAGGGCTATCGCCCTGCAGAGAGACCGATTCAGAAACGGCCTCAGGACAATTTGGCGCCTGAAGGCGACATTGAAATCTGGCGTTCACGAGATGATTACGTTGACTTTGTTGAGCGTGAGCGGGTGGAGGTCACCAAGTATCAGGACAATCTGCGAATGGAGGGTGAATTCATCGACATGAGAACGAGAGATGATTATAAGGTCGTTCGCGGTGAGAGAGTTGACATAATTCGTCACCCCGACAATTTAAAACCAGAAGGTGATTTTGAGAGGCCTGAGCGTAGACCTGTGGGTCCAGCAGAGCGCAGAACACCCATTAAACATCCTGATCATCTCAAACCTGAGGGTGAGTTCGTGAAACGACCGAAGGAGGCAGTGCCTAAGAAAGGAGATCGAGCTGATGTAAAGAAACCCCAGGACAACCTCAAACCTGAGGGAGACTTTGAGAGGCCTGTAAAATCACCGGTTAAACCTGCAGAGAAACGTACACCAATTAGGCATCCAGATAATCTCAAACC